AAAAAAAAAAAAAAAAAAAAAAACAGAATTCAACAACACATTAAAAAAATTATACACCATGATCAAGTTGGTTTTATTTCAGGGGTACAGGGTTGGTTCAACATAAGCAAAATCTATAAATACAATACATCAATAGGGTCAGAGGAGATCAAACTCTCACTCTTCACTGATATGATCCTATACCTGGAAAATCCCAGGGACTCAACTTCAAAACTCCTAGACGTGATCAAGGAATATAGCAGTGTCTCAGGATACAAAATCAATACTTAACATTCAGTAGCTTTTATATACACCAACAATAGTCAAGCTGAAAATAGTGAAGGACTCTATTCCTTTTACAGTAGTGCCTAAGAAGATGAAATATTTGAGAACTTACCTAACAAAGGACGTGAAAGATCTCTATAAAGAGAACTATGAAACTCTGAGAAAAGAAATAGCTGAAGATGTTAACAAATGGAAAAACACACCATGCTCTTGGCTGGGAAGAATCAATATTGTTAAAATGTCCATATTACCCAAAGCAATTTATAAATTTAATGCAATCCCTATCAAAGCACCACCATCATACTTTAAAGATCTGGAAAAAATAGTACTTCGTTTTATATGGAACCAGAAAAAAACTCGAATAGCCAAGACATTACTCAGAAATAAAAACAAATCAGGAGGAATCATGCTACCAGACTTCACACTATACTATAAATCTATAGTGATCAAAAAAGCATGGTACTGGCACAAAAACAGAGAGGTAGATTTATAGAACAGAATAGAGAACCAAGATATGAACCCAGCTACTTACAGTCATTTGATCTATGACTAGCCTATCAAAAACATTCAGTGGGGGGAGACTCCCTATTTAACAAATGGTGGTGAGTGAACTGGCTGGCAACCAGCAGAAGACTGAAACTGGACCCCACCTTTCACCATTAACCAAAATTGATTCTCACTGGATAAAAGATTTAAACTTAAGACATGAAATTATAAAAATAATAGAAAAGAGTAGAGAGAAAACACTTGAAGAAATCAGCTTGGGAGAATATTTTATGCGGAGGACCCCCCACCCGGGCAATTGAAGCAACACCAAAATTACATTACTAGGATCTGATCAAACTAAAAAGCTTTTGCACAGCCAAGGGCACAGTAAGTAAAGCAAACAGACAACTTTCAGAATGGGAGAAGATTTTTGCAGGTCATACTTCTGACAAAGGTCTGATAACTAGAATCTACAGAGAACTCAAACTAATTAATAAGAAAGGAACAAATAACCCTATTTCTATGTGGGCAAGAGACTTGAACAGAAACTTCTCTGACGAAGATAGTCACATGGCCTACAAACATATGAAAAAAATGCTCATCATCCTTAATCATCAGACCACCCTGAGATATCATCTAACTCCAGTAAGATTAGCCCACATCACAAAATCTTAAAACTACATCTTGGTGTGGATGCAGAGAGAAGGGAATACTTCTACACTGCTGGTAGGAATGCAAGCTAATACAACCTTTTTGGAAAGAAGTTTAGAGAACACTCAAGGAACTAAAAGTAGACCTGTTTGATCTTGCAATTCCTCTACTAGGTATATTCCCAGATGATCAAAAATTATCCTACAACAAAACATTTGCACCAGAATGTTTACTGCACCCCAATTCATAATTGCCAAGTCATGGAAACAGCCCAAGTGCCCATCAACCCATGAATAGATTAACAAATTGTGGTATATGTACACCATGGAATACTATGCAGCCATAAAAAAGATGGAGACTTCACATCTTTTATGTTTACCTGGATGGACCTGGAACATACTCTTCTTAGTAAAGTATCTCAAGAATGGAAAAAATAGTATCCAATGTACTCAATACCACTATGAATCAATACATAATCACCTATACATTCATATGAATGGTAAACCATAACTATAGTCCAGAAAGTAGAAAGGAAGAAGTGGGGGGACATAGGAGGAGGGAGGGTATTTGGGGGGAACCTCACCTAATGTGCATGATGCAATGGTACATTTAAATACTATTAAGAAATGAGTATAATTGTGATGGATGTGTTACTTAATTCAATGTAAGCATTTCACATTTTATATCGAAGCAGTACACTGAACCCCATAAATGCATCAATGTACAAAGTTATGATTTAATAAAAAATAATAATTAAAAAAAAGCAAACTAGTAAAGATCCCCAATATCTAGACTCTCCTGTATAAACTTCACCTTTGGGTGAAGAAATGACGAGAAGTTGCTCTCTGCAAATGTGTTCTAGCTAATGAACGAGGAGAATTAGAGCATCATCTTCTGCAGCCCCTAAGAAGTCACTGGTAATCCATGGCTACTAACAACACAGAAGGACAGACCGCCAGTGGCCAGGTGCCCCCTGCAGAGCCCACCGCCACCAGCCACAACTGTTTCACCAACCAATCAGATCAGACCCCCAGATGCAGTAATTTATAGAAAACAGAAAAAAGCATAGGAAAACAGGTTCCTACATCACAGTTGATGCAATCAGCAAAATCCAGACTGGCAAACTTAACAGAACTACTCAGATTTTTCAACAAAAACATGGCAGAGAGATGGACGAGAAACCTACAGCTACAAAAGAGACTTAAGAAATGTATCAACCAACAGTAACATATGGACCTTATTTGGATTCTGCCCCAAATAATTAAAAAGCATTTGTTAGCGTCTGAGACAACTGAAAAATTAAGACTTGCCAGATACTGATATTAAGGAAGCGGTAACACATGTGGCTATGATTTTTTTTAAGTGTCCTTATTTTTTTAAAGACAATGCTAAAAGACCAAACCACATTTATAGACATTATTACAACTCAATGCAATGAATGTAGTCTGTATATCTGAATGCCTGTAGTACTCTTTTTCCCTTCAAGTACGAAATTATCTACTAGGTTCAACAAAGCCATCTGGTATCCTTCATGAACTTTGCCTAGTATGTGGGGAAACTCCTTCTATAGACTTCTACCACAACACTTTTTTCTATTATCTTAAAAGTTCCATTTTGTACTTCATAAACCGTAGAAGTACCAATGACACAACATTCATCATAGGGAAATATTTGTATGAAGAAAACAGATTAACAAACAGTAGGGCATTATTATTTATTTTAAACAAGGAACCATAATACTATTAAAAATAGAGAGCAAAATATAAAATATCACTGATCCTACATACTTAATATTTTTATAACAATTTTTAAATAAACATAAATGAAACACACAAAATAATATAGTAAAAGAATTCACTGTTATTTTTACAAAGACAGTTTCCTTTAAGCTACTACCACATTTTTAGGAGAGACAGCCACAATCACAGACCACTAGGTCTTTTTTGGTCCAGGAGGTGTTGTTCAAAAATGCAAATAACTTGCTGACACTTTAAAACAAAATTTTGGGGTGGGCGCGGTGGCTCACACCTATAATCCTAGCACACTGGAAGGCCAAAGCGGGTGGATTGCCTGAGCTCAGGAGTTCAAGACCAGCTGGGGCCAGAGTGATACCCCGTCTCTAAAAATAATCAGGCATTGTGGTGGACACCTGTAATCCCAGCTACTTGGGAGGCTGACGCAAAGAAGATTACTGGAGCCCAAGAGTTTGAGGTTGCTATGAGCTATGATGCCACAGCACTCTACAAAGACTCTGTCCAAAAAAACTCCCACAAGATTTCAAAGTAACTCAGAACTGGAAGGCACAGTGCCACAGGAAATAGGGGTCAGCACCATTTATCACTTTCTTGAGGACAGCTGCAGTCTCCCAGGTCTCCACCATGCCAAGGTCAGGGCCAGCAGCCATGTGGCATCAGGTCCCCTCCCTGCTTTCTTGACACCTGGCCAGCTTTGTCCGCCTTAGTAGCCTTCCAGGTAACTGACACTTGTGTTTGAACCATTAACTTTCATAAAACTTTTTTAGGCAAATAAAAGAAGTATATACTGGTGCTGGCAATTTTGCTATTCAGTTTTCCTTAAGTTTGTACGGAACTAGGCAGTTGGTAAGAGAGCATTCTGAAAAGGAAGTAAGACAAAGAACACATCTCTGGGCTGCTTCTGCCCATTAGCTCACAGAGAACGGCAGGGCCCTGATCACCCAGCGCTGCGGCGCACATGGCCTCACCTGCATTGTTCCCAGTTCCTTTCTGCTTTTTTTTCGTGGCTAGTTGAATGGCTCGGTAATCAGTTCTTGCTGAGCCCCCACTTTCCTGAGACCAAAGAAAAGTGTGTCAGTCACTTGATCTAGACAGCAAAGGAAGGGTAGCAAGGGAACTACAGAATTGCCATAAGCCTGCTTCTTGAACACGTCAGAGCTCCAATAACCACTTCAGAGTCGCCAGCAAAGGCACACGAACAGCCAAATACTATGTCCAGTTATGAGGACAGCTGAACAAACTCAGAGTTTGAACAACATTCATGATTTTATTATCCAGAGAAGCAAAGTTTATTCTCTAAAGTCTAAAACATATTAAAATATTTTACACAGAGACTGTCATAAAATGAATTATGCACTTCTCTGCTTTCTGAAACAAACACCCAGCCTTGCCTTGGGGACTCCGGGTTGCCTGGCTGCAGCACTCTCGACACTTCTCACACTGTGCCATGTACCAGCACAGCAGGCCTGGGGCTGGCCCTGCCTTGCAGAGCCCTGCAGGGGCCACTCTGGCAATGAGAGCTGCGCTCAAAGTCTTAAACACCAAACATGTAATTATGTTATTGAATTAAGGGGATTTACTGAGGGAGTCACACAAATAGTATTCAAATAAGACTTAAACTATTGTAAATTTGTGAATGTTTTATAGGAAAAGTGTTTTAATATTTATCACTACAAAGAGAAAAGGAGCAGCCCTCAACAGCTCGTGGCATACCTGTAACCCATTCACCACACACCATTTGTATTCAGAGAAGCGAGGGAGCCCCACATCACACGGCTAGCAAGAAAACGAACAACGAGTTAGGATCCAGGTCTTACCAACTCCTCCACCTCCACCCATAGTTATGGCTCTGGAATGTTGCGGGGCACAAGAGAACTACTATCTATCTCCCAAGGCACCAGGGCACCAAGTCCCCACACCAGGGACTGGCTTCCCACTTATCTCTGCCCTGTGGACACCCCCCACCCTTGCCCAGCTCCTGTCTGCTCAGCCTAAGCAAAGCGCAGCTCTGCTACTAACAAGAAACTGAAGGGACAGAGACAGTCCTCCTCTCAGACCGAAAGAAATGAAAGCTGCACCCTCCCAAGTTATCCTAATTTAAAATATGTAACATCTTTTTAAAGTTGTGATAAAGTTAAGATTTACAATTTTGAACAATATAAATGTCACCATTACATTTAACCTATGCCACAAAGAAAAACCCTATTTGGTCATTCCCACTAGAGACTGAGGAAAGTCAGACTCTCTCATGAAAGCTTAAATTATTTTAAATTATTTTAAATGTATAATTGATATACATATAATTAAAGTATATTAACAGTCTAGCCTCAGAATTGGAGAAGTATTCTTATAATCCTCCAAAAACAAAGGATCATACCATTTCATTTTCTTGTTAATTCTAATTTTTAAAAAACGTATTTTGGCATTGGTTTAAAAAGCAGGCGTCCTCAAACTATGGCTCGCGGGACACATGCAGCCCGCCAGGTGTTTTTGCCGCCACTGCCCGTCCTGCTTAGCAGCCGACTCCTACCAGGGCCCACAGTCAGGCCCTCCAACGGTCTGAGGGACAGTGAACTGGCCCCCTGTTTAAAAAGTTTGAGGACCCCTGGTTTAAAGTTTCCATTAAACCTTTACAGGTAGTTTATGTCACAATTTCTCCTCTTCTAGGACTCATCATTAGTTAAAAAGCACAAAATGTAAAAACATTTCAACATTATGAAATACCTCAGTTATTTTTCAAGAAAATAAACACAATATCATGGAATCACAGAAAAAAGGACCTTAGAAATCATCTAGCCAAATCCCCTTATGTTTAGAAATCAACGAGAATTTAAGGCTCAGGTTAAGCGATCTCAGGTTAAGGTCATAGGAGCTCATCAGTTCCAGACTCAAGGTCAAATTTCAGATCTCCAGACTTCTAGTCCAGGGCTCCATCCTTCTGCAAACCAGTAAGAAATGTCTGCACAGAAAGGATTAATCCACAATATCCTCAAAACTGAATATGACAGAAGTGAACTATGAGGTGGTGACTGAATGGAAGGCTTCATACCAAGTAGAGGCTGCCGGTGCCCACACTGAGCTCTGTGTCCTGAGCACCGGGCCTCTCCACTGGGCTGGACAGCACAGGCTGGGCCAGCCTGCAGCTTCCTTTCTGCCGCCCAGCTGCTTCAGGGCTGGGAAGCGAATCCTGCTCCACCTTGACTGCAGCCAGCCCCTTTGGGACACTGGCATTCCCACGGGGGGCACCTGAAAAGGCTGGTGCAGTGACGTGTGCTGCCGAGTTACTGCTGGAGGTCACAGGTGGTGGGTCTTGACCCAAGTTCTTCACAGGCAGAGCCACCAAACAGCCTAATGCTCCTGCACTCATGGTCTGCATGTCGTCCACACCGAAGCTGCCCTGCTGGAGAACAGTGGCTGCCGTGCCAAGAAGAAGAGGGCTGTCCAGACTTGGAGGCATTTCACTGTGGGCCACCAGGACCAGGGGGTCCATCTGCCCATAGGAGCTATTATTGGTAGGGAGGTTCCCTCCCAGAGAGGAGCTCACAGAAGTGACATCAATAGTCAGGATTCCAGAGTTCAATGCCTCCTCTGAGCCACTAGCAGAACCACTACCGCCAGCAGGCGTGTCAGAGAAGAGTGCTGCCAGGTCTATGTTAGCGAGCTCACTGCTGGGCACAAGAGAACTTGGAGCTTCTAGCTGAGGTAAGGGATCTGAGGAAGGAATGAATACTCTGGTTATTTTATGACCTCAGACTAAGAAATTCTGCTTATGCTTAAGGTGTTACCAAGCAAGCCCCGAAGGAAATATTCACTGTCCCGTTCCTATGGCCTCGTCAGCACAGGGACTGGCTTGCTAACACCTCAAGCACTTCACAGACCTGTCGCAGATACTCAAGCTGACAGAGATGTGTCCAGAGGAAATAACTGGAGAGGTGAAAAACATTCCCTAAAGTAACAGTAACTACTAACAGTGAGAAGATAAGATCCAAATTCTTTCTGGCTTCACACCTGGGCCCTTCACCCCTACACCACAGTAGTTACCTGAGAAGACTAACACTCCCCATGGTGCACACTCTTCAGAAGTCAGTTGTAAGCTGACCTGTGGCTCTGGGCATATTTCTGGAGTCGGCTTGCGTCAGATCATGTCTTGCCTGCTTTGTGCCCCATTCTACAACTAGCTGCCACTCCAAAACCAATGTGAGCCATGTGGGGTTGATCAAAGGGAATATAATTGGGCCCCTGGCCTATCTTCTCTGGACTGAGATCAAAGCTCCAGCTCTAAGCAGATGCACGGAACTCAGACACCAGGTCCCCTGAGGTACTCTGAGACGTGCTTTCCTATGTGAGCTCGTGGGCTTCCCTCCTATTACGTTTCAAATCTCTAACCCCTCCAAGACTATAACCCAATCCACACCCCTCAGCATCCAGTGCCTGGTCCTGACATAGCACTGAATGATTACACAAAAGAATTCTACAGATCCCTCTCCATTTGTAGCCATGGCTTTTGGTCATAACACTCTTTAAATATTTGACTGTTATTTAATTAATTTAAATAATCAGAATATCCTTGGAAGAACAGTAAATATTAATGACTTCAAAAGTTTTCAATGATATTCAAGCTGTGGATTTGTATTTAAGAACATAGCAGTCACACCAAATTGCAGGGCTCTTCTAGAACCAAGCAGACAGTAAAATGTGGGTACAATGAATTTGGGCCTCTTCTGCCTCACATTATTCTTTACCAAGAAATCACTGCAGCTTCCTGCCTCTCCTAGTGCCTGGCCTTGAGGGAAAAGGTTCTCAATTTTCCACTTCTGTTCTTCCCATACTGTTAGCTAACCTGAAATTCACACTTGCACGTTGTAAAAACCCAGAGCACCCATGTTTTGGGGGGTTTTGAGACAGAATCTCATTCTGTCACCCAGGCTAGAGAGCAGTGGCCTCAGCCTAGCTCACAGCAACCTCAGCCTCGTGGATTCAAGGGATCCTCCTGCCTTAGCCTCATGAGTAGTTGGGACTAGAGGTGTCTACCATAATGCCTGGCTAGTTTTTCCTGCCCCCCCCCTCCTTTTTAAGTATAGACAGGGTCTCACTTTTGCTCAGGTTCAGATTAGTCTTGAACTCCTGAGCTCAAACAGTCCTCCCACCTCAGCCTCTCAGAGGGCTAGGATTATAGGTGTGAGCACTGAGCCTGGCTCACAGTGCCTGTATTTTTAAAGCTAACCTATGAAAGAAAACTACTCTAGACAAAAAAAAAAAAAAAAAAATCAAATTCAGAATATATTATTAGTTGTCACATTACTTGAAAATGCAAAAAGAACACTGATACAGTTTGCCCTCAACTCTCCACCAGCTCTCACCCCCTCCCCCCCAGGTCAGATTCCCAGAGGAAACAGTGTCCCTGGGAGTATGAGAGCATCTCTGAAGAGGGATAGGGAAACGGAGACAGTCTGGAGTGCTCAGAAAGAGCAAGGAGACCTAGAAAGAGCAGAGGTGGCTCAGAATTCAGGACAAAAGTTCCATGGAGACACCAACTGGGGGGAGATGTGCTAGGGAAAGCCAACAAAATAAAGGCTGAACATTCTTCAAGGGGAGCACTCCAAAGATGAGGGAATGAAGGCTCAGAGGCAAGACAGAGCACAAGAAAAGGGTACCAGCTTAGCAGCCATGTCATGACATCTGTCCTGGGCCACCCGAGGGTGGAGAAGAACAGCACTATCCCTGATTCTCACACACACTCAGACATACTCATCTCCACAGCTCCCAGAGAGGGATGTGAGAGGCGCAGACCTTGGCATTGGCTGTGCTGTCTGACCATGTGAGCCTTCATGCTGTGCTTAGAGGTGAAGAGTCTATTGCAGCTGGACACTGGACAACGGCTTTTGGGAGTACTGGCATCCTGCATGTGCTTCTTTGAGTGGATATACAGACTGCTGCGAGCGGAGAATCTAGCACAGCACCCTAGAACAAATTGGGCAATAAGAGTTAAAATGAGGAATTGCCAATGACCCAGGAAAAAATGAGACTTCCTCATCAGGTCACAAACCACAATGAGAACAGATCAAACATCATTAGGAGCATCATAAGGAATTAAAGTCAAAAGCAAACTGTCTTTAAAAAGCAAGAGATTAGTAAGAACCACAGGGAGATCTGAAGTCCTGCCACAGCCACGTCTAAGTATGACCCCAGACAAGCTGGTGCTGCTGCTGTTTCCACACCATGCATGGTACTAAGTCAGGGCGCCTGTGGCTCAAAGGAGTAGAGCACAGGCCCCATATACCAGAAGTAGGGGGTTCAAACCCAGTCCAGGCCAAAAAAAAAAAAGAAGATTAAATCAAATTAGGTATTAAACAACTCCTTAAATATTCAACTGTGGGCTCGGCGCCTATAGCTAGGGCGCCAGCCACGTACACCTAAGGTGGCGGGTTCGAATCCCCAGCCCGGACCCGCCAAAACAACAATGACGGCTACAACCAAAAATGGCCGGGCGTTGTGGCGGGTGCCAGTAGTCCCAGCTACTTGGGAGGCGGAGGCAGGAGACTCGCTTGAGCCCAGGAGTTGGAGGTTGCTGTGAGCTGTAATGCCACAGCACTCTACCCAGGGGGACAGCTTGAGGCTCTGTCTCAAAAAAAAAAAAAAAAAAAATTCAACTGTGAAAAATTCACACTAATCATCTGTATTAAGGTATTAATATATAAAACAATTATAATCCTATGACATCCAGAGTTGGAAACTATCTGAACAGATCATCAAAACCAATTCCTTCCATTTTCTGCTGACAACCTAATGCCCAGACAGCAAGTGTCTCTGGACCAGGCTATGAGCAGACCTGGGGCTGGCATTACCTTGCCCACATACTCAATTCAGCGTGTAAGCCTCAGATCTGCACACAAACATCAGAGGGGAAAGAAGACAAATTCAAAATTACAGTCACCTCCCTTTATGCCCTGATTGCCACTGTGTGGGCTCTGTTCCGCATGGACACAGGGAAGGCAGCAGGGCTCCAGGCAGCCGGAAGCCTGTCATCTGGCAAGGCCAGCCCAACAATCAGCTGCTGCAACAACACAGGGCAGAAGGAAACCAGCCCTAACAGAACAAAGAGATGTCCCAGGGGCAGGGAGGTACCACCATCCAGAGGCAGGTAGAATTAGAGGTGTCTGGGCCCTGACCTGTGCTAGGGCCACCCCAGTATTGGAAACCACCAAGCTCAGGCACTTGGGCACCAACGGCAGGTGGGCAGGCAGCCTGGCCTGGACCCTGACTCTAGCTCTGCCACCTACCAGCTATGCGGCCTTGGCCCAATTATTTTATCCTTTGCAGAGATCTCCTTTCTCTCTTCCGTAAAAATGGGAATACCCACTTATCTCATGGGGTGTTATTGCCAAATAAATCAACACCTACATATAAAGTGTCTGCACAGGGCCTAGGAAATGAACAATGCCAAACGCGGAGCTCTCTCAGCACAGTAAGCAGGGTGCCGAAGGCCAGACCCTGGCTGCCCCGAATGCAGTTCTCAACTCAGTATCTCACTTTCAAATAAAGCTCCAAACTTGTTTCCAGGTCAGGCTCCTTAAAGAACATCTGGGCAACAGCAGAGAGGACTGCACGCCTCCGGTTTGCCCTGCAATCGCAAGGTGCCGTGTGCGTGCTTTGCTTACAGCGGTGCACAGGCTGCCCTGGACCCCCTTCCAGCTGGGTCTCCTCAGCACATATTTCTAGAGATAGACCAGTCACAGAGCAGAGGCTCAGAATATTCCTTTTATCAGATGGCTTTCCCAAAGGCAGGGGTCACCCACAACAGGACCTCACCTCTATTTTTAAAAGTATTTGCCAATTCAACAGGCAACAAAATACATTTCATCTTAGTTTGTATTGCCTTTGATGACCAGGAATGTGACCATTTTTCTATACATGTTAACTGCTGGCTTTTCCTAATTGTTCATTTATCTGGAGATTTGTGTCTGATCCTTATAAATGAAAGCCCCACCCAGGAAAGGGGCAGAGCACCATCACTGACAGACTTGTCTCCACACCCTGAACTCTGGGGATGACCAGGCAGGACGCCGCCCCTCACCCCCCCCCCCCACCAACCCGGACTTGGTGTGAAGGCTCTGTGACAGCAGAGACATCACCACCCTCCAATCCTGTCACATACATGCTGTCCTCAGACTGCCCTGCCAATGCCCCCACTGACTGCTGTCATTGCCCAAACCCTGTCTTCATCTTCTCCTTCTATTACCATGAAAAAAGTGGTTAGTGTTTGTTTTACTTTTTGTCACAAAACATTTCAAACATCTGCTAAATGGAAAGTGGTACAGTTGGTCACACACACCTATAGCCTAGCCCCAGGAACTGGAGGGTCCTAGTCAGCCTGACAAGGTACGCTGGGCCCCCCCACCCAGCCCTATCCCACCCATATGTGAGCACTCTCAGCCTGCCCTCCCCTCTACCCCTCAATGCCCAGACTTACCCAAAGCTCCCTCCTCAACAGCCAGCTCTGACCCCTCCCTCTTTTCCTCAGTCACCTCAAGCAGAAGTGCAGGCACAAACCATCCCCTGCCTCCCACTCAGGCCAATCCTTAGGGCACTGGAGCATAGTATAAACCCCGCCTCACCCATCCCACACACACATTCCCCCTGGCTCCGCTTTCCTCAACACAATTCCATGCATCCTCTCTTGGCTCAGCACCCCTACGCTGCTGCTGACCCTGCTGGGGCCCTCCCACACCTTCACCTGAATCTGTGGCAGTCCCCAGGTGCTGCCCTAGGCCTTTTATTAATCTAAAAGCAATCATAACCATAGAAACCTACTTATGTCCAAGTTTTGCACACGCTCTACCCTAATTAACTAATGGAACCCTCACAACAGCCCCATGAGGGCTTACCACACATGAGGGAAAGAGGACAGAGGGTTTTAGCTGTTTGCCCAAGGTCCCAGGGCAGACTGCTACTCAGCGACAGACCTGGGACTTGAACCCAGGCAGAAGCCATGCTTTTGATCACTACACTATCCTTCCTCTCCTTCCATTTACACTGTTCCTTGGAAAGTCCATCAGTTCTGGGGCTCAAATGAAGACTTCCCGTGTGCTTCACTCTGCCAGGCCTGCTCACCAAGCTCCTGTGGGACATCCCCTGCCAGCAAGCACTTGAGCCCATACAGCAAAAGGTACTTAAAACAGAGCACATCCAAACCACTGCTCCTGTGTCCCCACCTCAGAGACACTGACCCTGCTGAAAAACCCAAATCCATCATGTCCTGTTGCCTCTACTCCCATCTGTCCTGGGTGCTACTCCCCAGTGCAGGCACAGCCCAGAGGCTCAGGATGACCATGCCTCCCTACAGCCCTGCTGTGCAACTCCACTGTGACCACAGCACCCACCTGCCTAAGCACTCAGCTTGTTGCTCATGCACCTCTAGGAGACTCTTCCTCCTCCTCTGGCTAACTGGGAGACTATGCCCACTCCCAGGAAAGGCTGGGTGAGCACTGGGCATTGCTAGAGTACCCTGCACATTACCTGCTCACTTGTTATACATTCCTGAATGCAACTATGAAGGAAGGAGGCACCAAAATATAAGTTAAACGACTTGTATTATGATCACTGTTCTAAGACTGGCCTTACCTTTAAATGGATCTTTATTTTTTTATTTTTTGAGACAGAGTCTCACTATGTCATCCTGAGTAGAGTGCTGTGGCATCATAGCTCACAGTAACCTCAAACTCCTAGGCTTCAGTGATTCTCTTACCTTAGCCTTCCAGTAGCTAAGACTATAGGGGCCCGCCACAACACCTAGCTATTTTTTGTTGTTGTTGCAGTTTTCATTGTTGTTTAGCTGGCCCTGGCCAGGTTCGAGCCCATCAGCCTCCGTGTATGTGGGTGGTGCTGTAACCACTGTGCTACAGGCGCTGAGTCTAAAAGGATCTTTATTATCCCCTTCTCCAGATAAGGAAACAATGTTGTAGAGAAGCAGCTTGCCAAGGTCATCTTTGGGAGTGGTGTAGCCAAAATTCTAATTCACAGCCTTCCTGTGCCCCAGTACACACAAAGCTGCACAGCAGGCCCAGCAGAGACGAGCCACAGGGCAGCTATTTGGTAATGAACTGTACCTTTGGCATTTTGAAGAAAAACATTAATGTCCTTTTCAGAAAGTAAGCTACCTTTACTATTGTCCAACCACAAAATGAGCAGCTACCTAGAGTTTACTGAGTCCAGGCTATGGGCAAGACACACAAAGGGGCATTTTCCACATTATTTCACCCAACCCCCACAGCCACCAAATCAAGTGGCATCAAATCAAGCAGGTAATGTAACTAGAGCCACAGATCCAGGGAAGGCAGGACCTGATGTCAAGCCCAACCTGCCTAGTCAACACAATGCTGCAACTTACACTTACTTGTCTTTGACCAACTAAATTTACCTTTAAACAAATGCAACTTGCAGCATAAATGTTGCTGTAGTACTTAGTTCACAGCTCAAAGCAATGTTTTAAGCTCTACCTTACCTTCCACAGGACACTCAAATGGCTTTGTGCCCAGGTGGGTTATGCTGTGTCCTTTCAGGTGCTCTGCTCTTGTGAACGACTTCCCACAGCCTTCGACAGGACAGGTAAACCTCCGGTCATCATCATGTTTCCTGCCAGAACAGGAAGCAACAGCACAGCGATTACTCACAACTCATGGGCACGGGCACAGGCCTCAGAGGGGATTCTTTGTTTAAAATTCTGCTAAACATACCAAAATACAAACTCTCTGCATTTAAAAAAAATGCAGTCATTATATTTCAGGAAATCTTCTGTCTTTAGTCCATGTGAGATTTTCAATTTAACTAACCCATAAATGAAAATTCTACTATATTTATTTGTTTATTTTTTCTTGAGACAAAGTCTTACTCTGTTGCTCTTGGTAAAATGCCATGGAGTCCATAGCTCACAGCTACCTCAAATTCCTAGGCTCAAGAGATCCATTCTCCTTGCCTCAGCTGCCCGAGTAGCTGATACCATAGGTACCTATCACCATGCACAGCTTAGAAAAGTCTACTTTAATGACTAAGCTGACCCCAGAGTCATACACAGAATAGTAAGGGCTATTTCAGTATAGGAATATCAGATTCCCAAATAGACCGATGAGGCTGCTCCCATGTTTAGGAATTCTCATGGACAAAAAGCTTTCTAAGCAGCAGAGGGCCATGAGCAGTATGCACAGAGGATGGACTGCAATGCTAAAAAGACCCTCTTAGTTCAACTCATAAAGAATGTATCTTTTCCTAAGTGCAATTTTTGTATTAAACCCCTCAGACACCACCTGTGCAAACTTAAGACTAACCATCCAACCTCACTAAGGCTCATTGTAAAGCTAAGAAAATAAAAACAAGAGCTTCAGAGCTGTCGTAAAAACGGAACAAAACACACACATAAAGTGTGGAGCACCACCTGGAAACATGCTCCAAAGTCATCGTTATCACCATGGAAATTTGTAATGACTGGCTCAGTGCCTGTGGCTCAGTGGTTAAGGCACCAGCCATACACCAAGGCTGGCGGGTTCAAATCCAGCCCAGGCCTCCTAAACAATAACAACAACAACAAAACAGCTGAATATTGTGGCAGGTGACTGTAGTCCCAGCTACTTAGGAGACTGAGGCAAGAGAATCGCCAAGCCCAAGAGTTTGAGGTTGCTGTGAGCTATGACGCCATGGCACTCAACCGAGGGTGACATAGTAAGACTCTGTCTCAAAAAAAAAAAAAAAAATGAAAATTTGTAATGACATGAGGAAAGCATAGTCTACAATGTTAAGTTTAAGAAAGAAAAAGGAACTGTATATAAAGCAGGCCTCATTAAGTTAAAAAAAAGTAAAAATAGAAAAAACTATCTTTAGGTGAGGAGATTCTGAGTAATTTTCTTTTTACAGTTTTCTAAATGTTTCAAATTACCTACGTTGAGTTCTTTTTTTTTTTTTTTTTGCAGTTTTGGCTGGGGCGAACTTGAACCTGTCACCCCCAGTATATGGGGCTGACGCCCTATTCCTTCAGCCACAGGCACTGCCGAGTTCTTGTTTTTTTTTAAACTAACTTAAAAACTATAGCTCTTTGATCCATAAGTTTCTGCTACTGACAAACTGATCATTTTCAAAGTTGATAACATGTACCAAAATGTGAGGATTACCTTTTGTGCCTTAGAAGTTTAGACATGCTGGTGAAGGTCCAGCCACAACTGTCTGAGTCACAAATAAAGGGTCTTTCACCTTATTAAAAAAAAATATATACATAGCATAATTATAAATCCAATAATGACAAGTCCTTGATCCAAATGATGTTGCAATTCCCCAGCACATTACCTGTGTGACTCCTTAGGTGAATTTTCAGTCGACAGGCTTTGTCATATTGCTTGCTGCACCCAGGAAAAGAGCAAGAAAAGAGCTCTTGTTCCCTGAAGTGGGCTCGGTTATGGGAAAACAGGGCACTCACTGTGATGAATGTCTTCTCACAGCCTGAACAAAGAAAATACAAACCCTGTTCACGGTGTCACAGAAATCATTTCACACAACTGACGCTAGCCACAACCCCAGGATGCTATTCATACTAAAACCAGGCAAGGAAAAAAACGACTCAGAAGCAATCTCTAAAAAGTTATGACCATTAGTGTCTGGCTTTGTAATAGCTACAACAGGGGTGGCTGATGGCACCCAACACCTACACGCAGGCCACCTGTTACAGTATGACTTGGAGATGGAATAATTGATCGAGAAAGTCCCAACTCACAGTCAGTTTTACAGCACTGACCCTATATACATTCAGTGTGTCTTCCATGAACTCCAATAACAGTACTGCTCCTGTTAGACCCTATCACAAGAATTAAACACTGAGGGACATTTTGCCGGGTAGGGTTGAGCTTTGAAGGATTACAAACCATTCTAACAGCTAGGATTTCACCCCCCTGGGGTGAATGCTGCATTCTGTACACTTAGGAACTCTATCCCTGACGGTCTCCATCTCCATCTCTACAACGGTCCCCATTTCTACAACTACCGACTCCACCTTTTCTTATCTAGACTCCTGTTCCTTTTGCCATTTCCTCAGGATTCCTCGCTTTGTCATCTTTACTCACATGGCCTTTTCTATCACCTCCAACCTCAGTCCCCCAATGAGGCCCCCTATCTAACCCCATCCCCATGCCAATGTAGCCTACACCTTAGCAATTCCCAGAATTTCCACATCAATATTTCCATGACAAATACATGTAGTGCTCAAATAGGGTGGAAATATGAGGCTGCAGGATGTTAACAGGTGCCTTTGTTACAGCTCTTCTCAGATTCTTTAACAGGACACCATGATGTCTGGGAATCAAGGTGCAGACACACTATATATTGCACAGCACTGCATACAAGTGTCAGCAACTTATTTCCCCCAGCAACATGTAACTAGGAAATGCTGATTTCCTCAAGACCCTAAAGTCATCCTCTGACCATAATCTGATCCTCATATCCCATAATTTGCCTATGTTGGACTTCTGAGTATTCACATACTTGGTCAGGTAAGTCTGGGCACCAATCCTAGCTGCCTTAGCAGGAACTGCCCCCTAATCAATAATCAATAATCCCTCTGGACTCTGCCTCTGCAGTCTCTCCTACCTAAAGTCCCCTCACATTCCGGTTGCCTCACACTGGCTCAAGCCCTCAGGAAACTCACTTCTGGGACATTTAAAGGGGACTCACCGGTCCCTCTCTTGCTTCTAGCCACTTCTTTTAGGAAGCCCACTCATCACTAACACAAAACCCTCAAGAGGACCTCATGCCCTGAAGCAAGCAGGATCCCTGACTTTCTGGAATTACATGGAATGATACTCTTTCTCCCAGGAAAAGTCTACAGCCTCCATCAAATTCTGAGAGTGTATGACTGAAAAAGGTGTTCATTCAGTCATGGCCTAAAGCCACGTTCTCCACGAAGAGGGATGCCCTTGGTGGTCCACCACACGTGGGCGTAGGGCTCCAGGGAAACCCTGTTAATATTTTTCATCTTGACTTTTAAAAATTTCTCTACTTGAGTATTTTAATACCACATACATTATTAGGAGAGCAGTATGCTTTTGTAATGAGCCAATGAACATTAGAGGCACACTAGGCACATGCTCAGGTTTCTGTTTGAATGAGAAGGGTGGGAAGGGGAAGGTCCTCCGTTCCAGGCCCTTACCACAGCCCACAGCATCCAGCTGGGCTCTGCCATCCACTGTACTCAGCTCACCTAGCCGGAGCCAACTCCTATCCATTCTTCTGCCTTCTCAGCCAAGAATGTTCTCTGGCTCCTCTGGAGAAACCCTGTCCCTCTGAGAGCCCCTACCTCTGCCCACCCTGGAGAGGGGTTCACTATATGGGTGCCTCACATTCTCAGCACAGTAGGTCAACACAGTGGAGAGACACCAGCAATGGGTTTTACCCACATTGCTCAGCCTCAGTCTCTTCATCTGTAAAGTGAAGACAGTTTTTAAACCTCACAAGAGGATAAATTTCACAAATTCACAACACTGTGAAATCCAAAGGTAATCAAAGTATAGAAGGCACAAAACCTGGCCAGTGCAATACACCTGGGGTTCTCCCTCAGTGCCTTGGGGTCTTCTATCTGGCCATATTCACCCCTGTCCCTCCAGCACGGAGCGAGCACCATCACACTTTCACACGCCGAGACCGAAGAAAACAAAGACCTGACCCACAACTCGGTGCGACTCTTCCTCCGTGAAGGTGCATTACCGCAATTACTAAAACGGAAACATGTGGAGAGAGACCTGCTGTCTCCATCACTTTTAAAGGCAACTGTAATTGTGTTTACCTACTGCTGAAATCCCCGCAACAAAGCAAAAAGATCTCAAATCAAATCACCTGCAAAAAACTAAAACGCAAGCCGTGAGGAACTCAGTCCCGCCCCTCCCTGAATCTTGTAGCCCAGAGTTTAAATCTCGCCAGAACTGCGGCGAAGGAAGGTGTTGCCGCCCCGCCTTACAGCCGGTTGGCATTTGGGTCAGCCCAAGACCCCGCGCAGCCCGCCAGCCCTGCAGACCCGCCGTTACCGGGAAAATCACACTTGTATGGGCGCTCGGGCTCGAAGTGGCTGCGCTGGTGGGAACTGAGCTTGGCGTGCGTGGGGAATCGCTCAGCGCACACCTCACACTTTAACAGGCTCTCTTGTTCGTGGCCCTTCATGTGCGCCTTGAGGTTGTACACAGTGGTGAACTTCTTGCCGCAGCTGGTCACGGGGCAGCCGAAGGGCCGCAGCTTGTCGTGCGACTGAAGATGCCGCTTGAGCTTGTAAGAGGTGGTGAAGGCCCAGCCGCAGCCCTCCAGCGGACACTTGAAGGGCCGCCGGCCCTGGCTGCTGCTGTGCGTCAACAGGTGCACCTTTAGCTGGTGCTTCTTGGCGAAGGCCAGCCCACACTGCGGCTCCGGACAGCGATAGCCTGGAGACCCGGGGCTGGCGCCTGAGGCCCCGCGGCGACCCTCAGCGGGGCTCGCGGCGTCTGGGCCGGGTGGCGCGGGCGGACGAATGGGCTGAGGGCCCGGAGCCGGCGGCGCGGCGGCCAGTGTAAAGACGCCGTGGTCGAAACGCACCAGTAGGTCCTGGTTGTTGATGGTGACGGTACCCGTGAGGGCCGGGCCGGGGACGGCGGCAGGGCCGCTTAGGCCCTGCTCCGCGAGGCCCATGGGGCTTGCGCGAGGGCCAGGATCGACCTCCGGTTGTGTGGGGGCCTCAGCGGCGGCGCCGCGCGGCACTTCCAGCAGAAGCACGATGGAGTCTCCATCCCCATCGTCAGGGGGCGGCGGGCTCGGCGCAGGGGCCTCTCCGCGCCGCTGCCCAGGCCCGCCATCTTCCGGGCCCCGCAGCAGTAGCAGGCGGCGGCGCGCGGGACCCGGGCTGAGCGGAGGTCCTGGGCCTCGGCGGTGTCGGCCGGGCCCGCCGCCATGTTGACCACCACGCGCGGTGGGAACGGCGAGCAGCGTCGAGAGGTCCATCTTGGGCTCAGCAGCGGGGTCTGAGTCGCGGCCTGGGAGGAAGTGCGATCCGCCCCGCCCAGATGCGCGCGCCACGCCACGCCGTGCGGCCGCCCCGGAACGCCGACAGCGCTTGGGCCCAGAGCAGAGGCCAGCGGGAAGCTGCGCATGCGCAGGAGCCGGCGGGGCGGGACGCGAAGCCTGCCGGGCCCGGCGTGGCGTCATGGGAGGGCGGGGCGCGACGGGCACATTTACTTCTCTGCGCTTCAGTGTGGTTTCTGGCTTCAGAAGTCAGCTTGTCAGACTTCGCATCCTCTTTCTGTGTCTTGGTAGTGCAGACAAAGGGAGAGGCAACATCTCGTAAGCGTTTACCGAAGTGCTTAATTTACATTCACACAGGTTCGAGGAAACCGGTTCAGAGCGCTCCAGCCGTTTGTCCTGGGTCACACAACCCTCAACTGGCAGATTCAGGATTTGAACCTGGTCACTAGGCTAGACACCCTCCCAAGCGAACTCACTGGGGTCAAACCCGCCCCTGCCTGGTTCACAGACCTGGCTTGCATGCCCCAGGTCCTTTCCTGACACTCAGGCCTCCCTGATGGGATCTTTGCCTGGATTTCAATTCTATTTCCTGCTAACAGTGACCCAGCCTACCAGTGCTCCCCTCCTCGCCCAGCCAACTCTCCCCTGCTTCCTACTGCCCTTAAGGCCTTAGTGGTCTGGCTTCCTCCCCCACTTTTGCCCTCATTTCCCAGCACATGCCCTCTGTGCTTCCACATACCCACACCACCAACCATCTCTTCTCAGTTCCTCCAGCAGGACAAGCTAGTTTCTGCCTCAGAGACTTTGCACAGCTGGCCTGATTTCCCTGGGAGGACTCTGCTGACCTTGTGATCCAAAGTACACCTTTACCCAGGCCCGTGATTTCCCACCTCCTGTTCTATGTGTTTCCTCCTAGAGCTTTCATCATGCAATTGTTCATGGATCCCTTCCCTGCTCACTTGTCTCAAATGCAGGCTCCTGGCACACTTGTCTTACTCACTGCTGCATACCCAGAGTTTAGCAGAGAAGACTCTTGGACACACTTGTTAATAAATGAATGTTTTATTAGAAGTATTTTTAAAGGTTTATCAACATGTCAAAAAGAATAGGATGCATTTATATATATATATGAACTTATGCCAAAAACATGTTCTGAGACCGTTCAGTGAAGGAAAGAGTAATCATTTGACAGTGATGGTGCTAGGACAACTATCTCACATCAAATGCAAAATTAACTCAAAAACAGATTAAAATAACTACATGAAAGACAAAAATATTAGGAAAAAAACAGAGGAATAAATCTACGTCACAAGTGACCTTGGATTAAAGAATAGTTTCATAGTTTCTTCTTCAAGTTTCCCATGCAAAAATCTGGCTGCAAGTGAGACAAGTAGGCCTTAAAGGCCCACCCTAAATGCCAGGTCCAGCTGCTCTTCATTTTCTCTTAGGGCAGGGTTGCTAACCACTCTGGTCCTGGAACCATAATTTAGCTGGGGCTCACAAAATACATGAGTGCAGTTTCAGTTTGGGAAGATAGAAATCTTCAGATGGTGGTGGTGGTTGCATGATGTTGTAAATGTGCTTACCACTGTTGAATGCTTGGTTAAAAGTGGTTAAGATGGTTAAGTTTCACTACAATAAAATAGAAAACATTTTCAATGAAAAACAGTTGGTAGTGATATGTTTCCCCTCCTGTTCTCTCTCTCTCTCTTTTTTCTGTTTCTCTTTTTATTTTTTTATTTTTTTTAGACAGAGCCTCAAGCTATTGCCCTGGGTAGAATGCTGTGGCATCACAGCAACGAAGGCTGTGTTGTTGGAGGCTCACAGCAACCTCCAACTGCTGGGCTCAAGTGATTCTCCTGCCTCCGCCTCCCAAGTAGCTGGGACTACAGGCACCCCCCACAATGCCCAGCTGATTTTTGGTTGCAGCCATCGTTGTTTCGCGGGCCTGGGCTGGATTTGAACCTGCCAGCTCAGGTGTATGTGGCTGGTGCCTTAGCCGCTTGAGCCACAGGCACTGAGCCTCTGTTTCTCTTTTTTAAGAGAAGCCACACTGTTCCATCCTTAGCTACTGAGTGAGCCCTAAGGTGGCCGACCCTGCTGGCAGCAGCTGGCTTGCAAGGGTTCCAGGGAAGTATACTGCTTACAGGCATGGCTTGGTATGTAGCAAGAGGGGTCTGAGGCCCTTGCACGTGTCCAGAAGCCACCTGAGATTTTGGCCCAAATCAGGCCATGGAGCCCTGCCTGTCCTTACTAAGGAAAGGCACTGGGTGGAAGCAGGTTGGTGCCAGGGCCTGGTGGCCTGGCCCTACAGTGTCTAAGCACTTACAGCACCAGGCTGCTTCCCATGGAGACCTGTTGAAAAAACGTCATTGAGACTCTGCTTGCTGTATTGGGACAGCAGCCTAGCCAGGACAGCTTTGACAAGTGAGAGCTGAAGAGCCTGGAGGAGCTAGCCTGGGCTAGTGCAGCTGCCCTGATGCTGCCAGAACCCAGACACTATAGTTTTGTCCCAGCAGTCTGTCCCAGCAGTCTGAGCTGCACCTGGAGGCACTGCCTCTGACATTGTGGCAGGAAAAAGGGTCAAAGGCAAAGAGCTGGGTCTGTCACTTGATTAGAAAACACTGGTTTTCCCAGAAGGACTGACCAGTGCACTTCCAGTCCATTTCAAGGCCTGCAGTCACTCCTGATTATCAGGAAGGCTGGAAAATTAGGTATTTTTGCTGGCTATATTGCTGCCCAGACAAAAATGGAAAGGGGAGATGGCTACAGGGGTGAGGGGTGCTACAGAGTTTGGGTGGCTGGAGACTGAAGCCCAGAAGGCCTGGCCTCCTCCCCAGTCCACAGACATGTGTGGTGGCCCCTAAGAGACCCATCCCCCGGGATCCTTCTCACTTCTCTGGTTAGGATGATCCTTTGCCAATTTGTTGGACCTGTCATAGTGAGACACAGTGTAAGAGAGAGAGGCTCTGTCAGAGCCTGGGCTCCGAGTATGAATAGCATGGGCACAGTAAGGGGCAGCCACTGCCTGATTCCCTGCTATGGCACTGGATCTGTACAGGGCAGGGAGCAGGCCTCAGTATCAGCTGTGGAGGGGAGGAGGGCCAGGAGAATTTTCTCCATTCAGCCCCTTTTTATAACTTGGATAATAATAAAGAAGGGCCATTGTCACCTCGTGACAGTGTTCCAGGTTTCAGTAGTGTGTTATGCAGATTAAGAAATTGAGGCAGGGCCTGGCTGGCAGAGGCAAGAGAAAACTAAGGTCTATCTGGCCTCTTGATAGTGGTCTTGTTTGACCACTTGATTTAAGAGAAATTTTCATTTTATATAAGAAACAGGATTTTGGAGCAAGATTCTAGAAAGCAAATTTTGGACTCCATAGGCCTTTTCCATTGTAACAGGCTTGAATAAATTAAATGTTTACCAGAGGCCTGGTGTTTCATTAATAAAGCCTAATTAATTGGAAAGGAGAGGGCCTGTGTCCCGAAGAACAAGGAAGCAGTAACCTCACTCCCAGCCCTGCCGTCATCTCCCAGGCCTGCCCCCACAGGATACTGCCATGGTCTTACCCCTCCAAACAGCACCTGCTCAGGGAAGATAGAGGGTTAGGCGTGGGGTCCTACTGAGTGAGACAGATGCTCTCACCCCAGCAAGGCCTTCTCTGGGGCTGGAGGTTAGTGCTCCCTTTGGGGGCCCTTCTCCCCATCACCCTTGTGCTTTTATTTGAACCCTGGCTCAATTCAAGGGCATGGGCAGCACCCAGGGATAGGCCTGCAGTGCCCTGGGGAGTAGGAGGAGGTTTAGGTGGAAGTTGAGGAAAGGCACAAAGTAAGGGAGGTGGGGGGGGGCCACAGCAGGGAAGGCCTAGAAAGTCTAGCTATGCAATCCTCTTTGCCTGGGTCCTTGCATTCAGGGTTTGGGCTCTGGGCCCAGCCATCCTTGGGTTATGGGATCCGGTGGCAGCAGGGCCTAGATTCAGGGGCCAACATGGTTCCTGCAGGGCACTCCAGTCCCAGACAGGGCCTTGGAGTGACCTTTGTTTTTTTTTTAAGAGACAGAGTATTATCAGCAGTCAGGCTGCTGTTGTCTTGTGCTCCCTGCTGTGCTGGCCTTAGGGACTAATCCTCATTTCCTTTTTTCCCAGCAAATGATTGCTTATCCTTAGAGCAGACCAGGCCCACCCTGTGCCACAGGACACAGCTCTCCGTTTAATCCTTTATTCCCACCTGCCCTTCCTGGGGCACCAAGGTACAGAAAGTAATAATACTTGCACAGGCAAGTAGAGTTGCATAAAGGGTGAAAGCCAACCACAAGGCCAACCAAGTGACAAAACCTGGCCAGAGAGAACTCCAGCGGGCTTGGGAGGGGGCTAGTTGGTCTCTAGCTCAGCTGGCGCCCCCACAGGAGGCTTGAGGACTCAGGACTAAATAACACTATCACTAGCTCCCTAGGCTCCCAGGCAAGCAGGAATGATGGACAAAGGGCTTCACCTCTCTGGGCCTCTGCTGGCTCATCTGTGAAATGGGACTGTCAGGAGCACCCCACCCAGGGCAACCATGAGGGCCGTGCAAAGCCCGGGCAGTGAAAGTGTGCAGGTGGGAAGGTGCACTGTGGCTGGAGGTGAGCCGGCCAGGGAGGAGGTGCTGCTGGGGCCGCAGCCAGGGCTCTTGGCTCTGGCCCCCTCTCAGAGCTGCAGGGCCTGCTGGAGCACAAGCTTGTCCCCAACCTCATGGGGGAGCGTCACCACCAGGCCATTGTTCTCCTGCATCGTCTGGCAGATGATGTCGTAGGCCTTCTGGTTCCCAGACCAGCAGCGCCGGGCCACCTGAAAGAGGAGGAAGCAGTGGTCGGTGTGCATGGTACCAGGCACCCCACGCATCCAGGCTCCATGCAGGGACCTGGAACTCTGTACATCTGCCCCATCCTGGGCCCCAGCCCAACTGCCCTCTCTTGCCTTCCTTTAGGATCTCAGCCCTGCCGCCCTTTCTGAGAATGGCCTCTGACCTCACCTCCCCCAGGGCTCCAGGTCTTGAAGGCCCTCCCTCCCTTCAGTCCTATTCTCCTTTACATTCTCTCCTCAGTCTGCTTCCTTCTGTCTACCAGGTCTTCTCCACCCCACCCAGCCCCTTTCAGCCCCTAGAGTGCACTCCTAGGATTAAACCTCTCCAAGGCTCTTCCCTGACTCTCATTGCCTCAAGGTGAAGACCCCACCACCACCACACAAGCCCTCTGCCCTGCTGGAGGCCCTATGGGGGACAAGCAAGTTCCCTTCAGTCTCACACTCACCCTCAGAGCTCCCAGTTGCCAGATGTCAAACCCTCTGAGCTCTTGCTCTGGCTGTGAGCCCCCTCCCCACCAATGTCCCACAGACCCTGCCCCATAGCTGCCTGTGATACAGTCTCAGGGAAGAATCTGGTGCCCCCCTTCTACTCCCCACCCCCTCTGCTACACCCAGAGGCTGCAGTGTCACAGCAAAGGTGAGTCATGGTTGCACAACCTTCCAGACTGACCTGTACCCTCTGACCTGCATTCAGGGACAGCAGGGAGGGAGCACTAAGGCAGAAACCTCCCCACACCAGCATGTGTGGGTGCTCTGCCCAGGGGAAGGGCTGGGACTGCCACGGCCACCTGTATAGACAGAGGCAGGGAGACCCAAAGGAGGCTATGGAAATGCTCCTGAGAGACACGAGGGCAGCCTGATGAGGAGGGCACCCTGGCAGTATCCAGAAGGGCAGGAAGGGGTAAAATGGCCTCTTGTGTTCTGGAGGAGGCAGAGCTAAGAGGGCACAAGAGGAGATGGAGGGGTCTGGGAGAGACTTACGCCATTGGAGACATCCCAGCTGAGCATCATCCTGGCTTTTTGTTCAGCCTCTGGGGTACCATCCAGCACGAGGCCAAATCCCCCATTAATCACTTCACCCCTACAAGAGGCAGAGGAATTTCCAGATTACTGCCTGAACTTGACCATGCATGGAATAGGCAGAAATGTTCATTTAGAAGTGTTGGCTTGAGAGGGTCTGAGAGCTGTTGGGGAGCCATGTTCTGTCTGCCTCTGCAGCCAGGCCATGCAGACAAGTAGATGGAGGAGCCGGAGAAGCAGAGCTAGATGGCGGGTGGAGCTGCCACCTGCTGGCGGCTGCCAGCTCATGCATTGCAACCATGGACTGGTGCCCACCTTGGGATTCCATTCGGAGTACCCTCTGGCTGGAAGCCTGCCTGACCTCCCTGGTGGACCATGCTTCCTCTCCCCACTCCCAGAGTGCTGGCTTATAGAGCACACTCCCTTGAAGTGTCTCTTGCGTTACTCCATCCAATTATCATTCCTTGTAATTTTGTTGTCATGATCTTTATCTTTCTACTTGGTTTAGGTGTATTTTGGGGTCCTTCTGATTACCTGATCTGAAGATTGAGCTCCTTTATTTTCAGTATTTCTTGTTTTCTACTTAATGCATTTCTCTGTGTGCTGTTTTGACTATGTCTAACAGGTTTTGACATGTTCTTGTTTTCATTTGTCTCTTAAAAGATATAATTTGAATTTTAGCTAAGTATGCTGCTGCTGTTTTACTGTTTCTACATGTTTTGCCCTGTGACTGTTCTCCATTATTCTGGGATGACCTTCTCCCACCCTCATCCTCGAGGTCATCCTTGATGCCATGAGCTGCCCTTGACAGAGCAAAGCAGTCTTCTCAGCTTTCAGTCATACACACCAGAATACCCTTGATCTTGTCAACATCTGTCATCGTGCTGCTGCAAAGATGTTCATCCTGTCTCACAGTCCTCCCATGCAGTGAATCTGCTCCTTCTTCTCCCTGACCTGATTTGCATCTGGTTTTCCTGGCCTCAGATCTTTTAGCCCCACCCATCTTTACCTGCTTCTCTGCCCAGCAAGGGCCCTATGATGAAAACTTCAGCCAGCTCCCACCCAGAAGCCAAGATGCCCTGTGCCCCTAGCAGCCACTTGCTTTTCCCACTCCTGGCTCAGAAGCTGCACTGCGAGTGAGCCAGCTGCCACTGCTGTAGAGGCCTGCCCTGCCCCAAGCCTGCATCCCTGCATCCAGGCTACATGGGGTGCATTGCATCTTCCACCTGCCACCAGGTCAGGAGATGTTCCAAGCAGACCCAATATCATTACCATTCACCTGTCAGAAGAAAAAGAGGGCAGCAGCCATGCTAAGGCCTGAGGACTCGAATGTGTCCTTCATCAGGAGGCCTTCTGGACATTAGAACTGTTCTGTTTTAGGAGCCTGCACCCTAGAGGGTCAGAGACCAGGCTGGTCAGCTCCAGGTAACTGCAGAAGAATCTTGAGTATGCATATCTCAGGAAGATGGGAATGATAGACCATTGCTATTTATGGACAATTTGGGATTACACACAAATCTCACAAATGGTGCTGGGACAACCAGCTATACCTTTGAGAAAAACACAAAAGTAGAACCATCTGTTACTTGACAGATGGACTAAAGCGCACGACTGGGAGGACAGACATCATCTCTTACTATAACTCCTCGAAGCAGGGGCTACCACTGTGCTACAAGCCTGCCTTCTGCCGCAGCCTGCCTTCTTCAAGATGCCCACTCCTACCACATGCAGATAAAGATGGTATGTGGAACACATGCATTTATTTCTGCTCCCTCCAAAATCTCCACTAACATGAGTACAAAGGAATTCTTTAGCCCATAAACAAGGAGGAAGTGAGAGGAGAGTAAGCCGTGGGATTCGGGGAGCTTGAGAGCAGACATGAGAAAGCTCACACCCGAGGTGGCTGTGGGAGTCACCAGTAGAAACCTGTCAGCACCCCAGGACCCAGACAGCCTCAGGGCCAAGGAGCTCTGAGAGATAGCCAGAGCAGAAGCAAAAGCAGGAAGAGCAGCTGGAAGGCTATTTGCCCCTAAGTGGACTCCCAGGCTGCTACAGCACCTGACTGCCAAGAGGCCGCCTGAGCTGACCCTCAGCAGAAGCATTGGGCTGACCCTCTAACACATGAAACCCAACACTCAACAGCAAGGCCCCAACCCTTCTAACTCAGTCTCCCAATAAGGATAGGGGACCAGAAAGGTCTTTATCAAGGTCCAACCAGCCCAAGGCCAGAGCCTGACAATTGAGCCCTTGGTGCACTTCAGACTGCCCCGTCCTGCGGCCCCTGGTCTAGAGGTCCACCTGAGCACACAGGCTGCAGCCAGCTTGCTGGTGCCTCTCTAAAAATGGCTGGACAGATAGCTCAAAGATGGAAACCAAACAGGCAGTGAGAAAGAGGGGATCCGAGGACACAGGCTGGGGGTGGTGACACACAGCTGGCCTTGGCTCTCTGGGAAAGGCAAACTCCACAGTGTGGAGCCAGCAGACAAGCCAGAGCATGGAACAGCAAACCCAGGGATCTGGGAATACACTTATGACTTGGAGACACGGACGGTGGAAGAGAGACACAGTGGCAGAGCCTATGGTGGTTTCTCCCTTGGAGTAGAGGAATCACCCCACTTGGAGTGGGACACAGAGGGAGCTGGGGAAATGGAGGGAGCCTGGAACCAGCTCTTCTATCCCCAGCCAAACACCTTACGAGCCTTGGGTGGGTCCTGCTCTCACATGAGCTGATCAGAATGGCAAGGAAAAGACCTTGGCCGGAAAGCCCTGAGGGAATCACAGGAGGAAACTGCTCTGAAAGCTTCTGGAAAGTGACAGGGTGGTCACTACTGTGGTGGGTCCTACTGAGCACCCACCACAGGCCTCTGTGTCCAGGGCTATAGGGGACCCAAAAAGGTAGCTTGGCTGTGCAAGTCCCTCCCCCGTCCCTCTGACTCCCAGCTCCCAGCAAGGCCCTCAGCAGAGAATGTAGCTGGGACCTGAGCCACCCCAGGAATCCCTGACTCCCATGTCAGCCTACACCTGTCCTCAGGAGCCTTCTTACCAGCCCACGCCCCCTCCGTTGTGAAGTGCGACCCAGGTGGCCCCACGGCAGGCATCTCCCACGAAGTTCTGCACGGCCATGTCTGTGGAAACAGAAGCTGCTGCCTATCACCTCCACACAGAGTGGACACAGGGCCAGACAGGCTCAGGCAGGGATGAAAGTTGGCATTACAGGCCCCACTGCTGGGGCCTAGAGGGTGGGGCAACAACTGGCTAGCAGGCAGCGAGGGATAGTGACCCTAAAAACAGCATCACTTGTGTTTGAAGGATTGGAGCTGAAGCAGGAGAAACTGACAAATGCCCATTTGCCCCATCAGCCTTCCCTGTAGCTAGACTGAGAAAGTGCCCCCAAAGCAGAAGGAGCAAAAGAATTACAAAGGACGGACAGGGCACCAGTGTCAGCTCAGAGAGCCAAAGAAAGACTACATTGTACTCCATGATTGCATTAATGTACACAGCTCTGACTTAATAAAAAAAAAAAAAGAAGAAGAAGGAGGAGGAGGAGAGGGTGAAGGAACAACTTGCAAATGAATGATTTTCCTCACTCCATCAGAGAACTGAGCTCCCAGGACACTCATCTAGCTGGGAACCTGGGGGGAGGGCACATCAGGGAGAAACAGAGCCCCACACATTCTAAGGGACCGTCATGAGCCAGCCTGGGCTGTGAGTCCCGGGGACACAGATTTAAGGGGCTCGCACCCTCTTGCAGGCTCTTCCTTCAGAAGCCCGTCTGGGTGCTCACAGAGACCAGGGGGTCCTTTAAAGCACTCTCCTCCTCTTGGTGCTGGCTGTGAAGGTGGGGAGGGGTCCAAGAGACCAGAAATGCAAGAAATGCAGCAATACAATCTGGAAAGGTGGGGAAAGAGAGCCTGGAGGCCGCTCAGCTAAGGACAGGGCAATGACACCCCAGTCCAGGGCCCCAGCCCACCCAGTGTGCCTGGCCCGGCTCCGATTTCACACTGGGCATCCCACATCCCTATGTCCCTGAGCCAGTATCCTAGTCACCGTCAGCCAGGTCTCAGTGCCAGAAGGTTTTTCACAACAACATGACTGAGTGAATCAACTGATTTTTAAATAAATCCAAATCTAACATTAAATTATAAAAAAATTATCTGTCTCACCTGCACAGAAGGCAGAGCCATCATAGATGTTGGAGGTCTCTCTGAATGGGCTGTCAGTGCCACTCACATCATGGTGGTCTCGGCTCAGGACCACTGGCGCCTGCTCAGGGAAAGATAAAAGTTGTTAGCTGATAATGTCCAACATGGCTGTCCAGCAGAGGCAGAGCGCTAGGCCCGGGCCACCCCAGAAACCCTTTGGATTTCTCCCCCATAAACACAGAACCGCTTCAGAAGAGGCAGCTCAGCCATTCTGATGTCATCTGTAGCGATTCATCCTTGTGTGACGGCACACTCGTGTGCGATCCAGGTATACCCTGGATGAGCGTCCTGCATAGCACCATCTAGCTGGGACGGCTGCTGCTATGCCTGCTCTCAGATAGGGACCCGAGGCCCTAAGAGTGCGGGGAGACTTGGTGGGCGAGCACGTGTCAAACACAGATGCTCCTCGACTCATGGTGGGCATCCATCGGGTCCTAAATCCACAAGGCGGTGAAGCTCCACTGGCCTTGAATTAAGAGGCCTTCCCCTCCTTGAACAGGCCAAGCTTGTTCCCACATCTTCGCCTTGGCAGTGAAACAGACATGTCAGCAACTCAGAGAGGCCTGTGTGACCACTACATAAAGCTGCTCATCACTGTCTGCAGCTCTCAAGCATCCTCCACTGTGTACCCACAGTCTGCTGGCACTGCGCCGGGGGCTGTGTCTGTCTTGTTCTCTGCTGTGTGCTTAGGACATGTGGCACGGAGGAGGGACTTGCCAGCATTGCCCAGTGGATGCCTGAGGAGTTAAAATGACTACCTCTCTCTGCTGGCCTGGTGCAAGTGGACCTGGAGCACAGCCCTCACATGCAGAGGGCCTCTGGGATGTGCTGTCTGAGAAGGGCTGGGGCTACGGTCCTTGTGGCCGGTGCCACTCTGCCAGAAACTGCCATGATGATGGTTTTCACACATATCTCTTGATTTCTCTTTTATGTCTGATCATTAATATTCTTGGCACTTCCAAAAAGACACGCTGACAAGACCTTTCTGTGGTGTGAGCCAACAGAAAGAGGAGTGGAAGCGCCCCTGCCCTCCGCAAGCATGCCGGGTATTCTGTGTCCTCAGGAGCTGGCCTGAATGATTCAGAGAGAAACAGGCAAAGCCTGGGAAAGTCTGACATGGTTTGAAAACAATAACTCCTTAAATGTGTGTAAAATTGCTTTTGTAGACATCAACTCATTTAGTCCTCACACTCAGTTTGAGGTTTTTGGGGTTTTCTTGAGACAGAGTCTCATTATAGCACCCTCGGTACAGTGCGGTAGCATCACAGCTCACAGCAACTTCAAACTCTTGGGCTTAAGCGATTCTCTTGCCTCAGCCTCCCAGGTAGCTGGAACTACAGGCGCCTGCCATAACACACACTTATTTTTTGGTTGCAGTTGTCCTTATTGTTTAGCAGGCCTGGGCCGGGTTTGAACCCGCCAGCTTCGGTACGTGTGGCCAGCTCCCTACTCACTGAGCTATGGGGGCTGAGCCACACTTTGAGATTTTAACATTATTCTCTTTTTACAGAAGGACAGTGAGACTAAGAGAGGGCACCCGACTGCTCCAGGTCACATAGCAGGGCCTGGGGTCAGGGTCTGGGTTTGAGGACTCCTGTCCCCACTTACCCACCCCCACACTGACACAGACGCAGCTGGCCCAGGAGGAGGTGGCCCTCCACCCTCCCCACCCTCCCCTCCTTCCTTCTTCCCTCCCTCTTCCCTCCATGACACTTCACACCCACCTCCCCCAGCACAGCTGGGCCTAAAGAGGGCTCATCTCTGAGCCCTTTTGGCCAATCTGGGACCAGGGACCAAAGCCTTCAAGGAGATAAGGTTTCCCTTAAAAGGTGGCAGTTTGGGGCTCAGCCAGGAGAGGGCTGAGCCGCTGCTCCTGTACACCCCACTGCTGAGGCCCAACAGTGGGACCTCTCCAGGAAGGCAGGGGCTGAAGCCCCCAAGCCGGGCCTGTGGGAAGTGATAGGAGTAGCCTCAGGGAGGCTCCCTGTAGAGCATAGGACATCTCACCTTGATCTTCCCTCGGGCAATGGCCTGGTTAATGGCCACTGCGATGGCCACACGGCCCTTCTGGTCCGAGTACAGGATCCTTGCCTGGGAACCCACCACCTGCAGAGGGGAGGGCAGGAGGAGCTCAGTCAGCAGAGTCAGGGCATCAGGATCATGAAATGTGGGGGAGACGTGGCCTGAGGAGGCCCTTCCAAGAAGGTCACAGAGGACCCCTGGGGTGCTGGTAGCAATAAAAATAAAGTCTGTACCCTGGGGCGAGCACTCATGTCCAGCCACCAGACAGCCACACAGGGCCTTCATGTCCACACAGTCTGGGCCTCCAGACACTGCCATGACCCATCACCCAAGGGTTCATGCCCAGGGGACCTCGGAGGCCCTGACTCTTGTGCTCCAAGGACCTGTTCCAGGCATCACTTCTCCTCCAGTCCTTTCAAGCACAATGATAGCAGCATCCCTACTCTGAGCTCTCGGCCAGCCCTAAACTGTGAGTCTCGGGAGGGAGGTGCTGTCACCCTCCTTACACGCTCCACTTGACAGAAGAAGAAGCTGGACCCTGAGCAACTGAGCACCTGCCCACAGGCTGGGCCCTGTCATCGGCTCCCAGGTGCTCAGCCACCAGGCCACAGCCCCCTTCTGATGGCCACCACACTTGTTTCAAGGGACAAGATGTCAGCAAACCAAATGAGTCACTGTTTATCCCTGTGGCCCTCCACCAAGTGGACATTCAGCAATGCCTGGAGACATTTTGGGGTGGTGCTGGCCTGGGTAGAAATGCCGCTAAACATTTTACAGTGCCTTTGCCACAAAGAATCATCCAGCACTCAGAGATCTGAAAAGTTACTTGCATACATACAGTCACAACAGTATTGATCACAGCAGCCAAAAGGTGGACGCAACCCAGTGTCCATCACTGGATGAATGGACAAATATTTACCACACAGATACAACTGGAATGTCCTCCAGCCTTAGAAAGGAAGGAGATTCTGACACCTGCCGCAACACAGATGAACTGTTGAGGCAGTGAGCCTAAGGGGAGACGCACCATACTCCAACAACGACCCCCCCCTTCTCGTGAAGAAGGAACAGAACAGCAAGTAACAAGAAGGGTGAGGTGTGGGGCAAAGATTGGGAAAACAGGGTGAGGCCTACTAACCTTATAGTTCTTGTTCTTAAAATACTTTTGCTTAGCTAGCAGTAACTAAGTGCCACAAAACAAGTGCCACAAAACTGCTTCTGTATACACCGGATTGTGAAACCCTGCGCTTGCTTGCTTGGCTCGCTGATAGCTATTTTTAGCTTCTTAGGTTGACCCATATAAACTCTGTCTTCAGGCTGGATGCTGCTGCCCCTTCTGATTTTCTGTCAGAGGGTAGCTGGCTGGCAAGTCTCAAATAAAAGGACTCCTATTGGCCTTTTCCATTTGCCTGGTGGTCTTCTCCTCTCATGCACTATAACATTTCAAGGACACTATGCCAAGAGTAAAATGCCAAGAAATAAGACCGGCACAAAGGGAAAAATATTGTGTGATTGCCCTTCGATGAAGTCCCCAGAGCCGTCAAATTCCCAGGACAAAAAGTAGAATTCTGGCCCCTCAGGGAAGGGGTATCGGGACTAGGGCTTAATGAACACACAGCTTGTTTGAAGTGATGGAGAGTTCTGGGGTGATGGCTGCACTGTGTCGTGAGTGCTTTTAATGCCAAATGGTTAAGATGGTAACTTTTGTTTGTGTGTATTTTACCACAATTTAATAAAAAGTATCTAGCCCAAATTTCAAGAGTGCTGAGGCTGAGAAACCCTGGTTCTCCAAAGAAGATGCAGGTGTCCAGCCCAGCTGCTGGTGAGCCAGTCCAGAGCTCGTGGCAGGGCCATGGAGGCAGCTGCACACCTGCTGAAGGTGCTCAGTGGGGCTGGGACAGTGGGCTTCCTTGCTTCCTCTTTCCTTGTAGGTGTCTAGCAAACAGCATTATTTCACTCACACCAGTTGCCTCAGATCCTTTTTCAGAAAAACAATCAATATAGATCAGTCCTACAAAGATTTTCAGATTTCTTGGATCCATAAAAAAATACATTGGGAGGAACTGATGCAGGATTTCCCACTTTGTCAAGAGTGTACATTAAAAAAACTAAATAAAATCTTTAAAAAAGATAACCTTCTGCAATCACCAATCATAAGATGAAGAGCAATATATCATTTTGTCTTAAGAACATTTGCATTACTGTTTATCACAGCTCAATTTACAATCATCAAAATATGGAGACAAATGCCCAGCAACCCAGGAATAGATTAATAAGCCGTGGTATCCATACATCGTGGAATACTATTCAGCCATTTAAAAAGCTGGAGAGTTTACATCTTTTGTATTAACCTGGATGGAGGTGGAACACATTCTTCTTAGTAAAGTATCACAAGAAGAGAGAAGCAGGAATCCAATGTACTCAATTCTAATATGAAGCCAGTAGATGATCTACTACAAACCTACATAAGAGAAACCTCAAATCAATTCAGGGTAGGGGGGCCGGGGAACAAGGGAGAGGGAAGAGGGGATAAGGAGAGGAGATGGGGGTCATGGTGTATGGCACACCTCTTAGGGGGCAGGATACAATTAAAAGAGGGACTTTAGGCTCGGCGCCTGTGGCTCAGGCAGCTAAGGCACCAGCCACATACACCTAAGGTGGCGGGTTCGAATCCCCAGCCCGGGCCCACCAAACAACAATGATGGCTGCAACCAAAAAATGGCCAGGCGTTGTGGCAGGCGCCTGTGGTCCCAGCTACTTGGGAGGCTGAGGCAGGAGACTCACTTGAGCCCAGGAGTTGGAGGTTGCTGTGAGCTGTAATGCCACGACACTCTATCCAGGGGGATAGCTTGAGGCTCTGTCTCAAAAAAAAAAAAAAAAGAGGGACTTTACCTAACAAATGCAAACAGTGTAACCTAGTTCTTTGTACCCTCAATGAATCTAAAACAATCATAAAAACAGACTAGAACAGAAAAAGATGAAGAGCAACATGAACTGGGATGAGCATGATCACTGCGCAGCTGCAAGGCGGGCACGGAGCAGTGGGCGGCTTGCTCCTGGCGCCGCCGCCTTCTTGGTTGGCTGGTGCCCTGCCTCAGGCTCACCCTGTCTTCCCCACTTTTCTCCACGCTCACCGGCTCACATTCTGCCTGTAGCCTCAGCCCTGCAGGCCCTCACGTCCTGGGTTTGGTGTCTCCAACTCACCACCATCACAGATGGGTTGTTGGCACAAGGTCTTGTGGCTGAAACGCAAATGCAAACTACTACACAAGGAAGAGCCAGCCCAGGAGACTGGGCAGTCCCCTCCTGGCCATGGGACCTTTGTCCAGACACAGTGCACGGCCAAAGGTATGTGAACCCAATGCCGACTTCTTTTGTTCTGTTCTCAGTTCACCTGGGTTGCTCCCACTGGCCTGGCTGGTCCCTCTGCCTCCCCTGGTTGTCACTTAGTGGCCTTCCTCTCACATGTAGACCTGATGCACTTGTCAGACACCTCTTATGGCCACTCTCTATAAGGCAGTATCACCTCTGCCCACATCACTTTGCTCAGTGTCCACCACACCCACTCACAGAATTGGGTTGGGATCTGTCTGTTTCCTCAGCACCTGACTCAGTGGCTTATGCACAGGGAAGTCTAGAGGTCTGCAAGAGCTACCTCCACCGTCTGCACACTGCAGATGCGAGCACAGGCTCAGAGAGGCTGAGTCACTCACCCCAGGTCACACAGCTGAAAACATGGCAGAGCTGACTGGGCCCAGGCGTCCTGGCTCCAGAGCCCAACTTCCCACCCCTGCCAGCCACCTCTGTGTATTGAGTAACGGGATGAAGAACCAGCTGACCAACCCTGGTCATTGCCCCGGGGCTCCAGGCTATCCCCCCATTTTTTACTGTGGTAAAATACACGTCAAATTTACAATTTTAACCATTTAAAAGTTCACAGTTTCACTGGTATTAAGTAAAATCATAAAGTTGTGTAACCTTCATCTCATCCACCTCCCTCCCCATCCCTGCTCCCACCACTCCGCCCTCTGACTGTACAAATGTGACTGCTGCAGGGGCCACATGTGAGTAGATCACACACAATTTAGTCTTTTGTATCTGCTTTACATCACTCAGCAAAGTGACCTTAAGGTCTACCTGTGTTGTGGCAGGTGTCAGAATTTCATCCTTTCTAAGGCTGTGTGTAGCACGTGTTACCTGCTTTACCAGTGACGGCCACTTGTGCGTATTTTGGCTGTTGTGACTATTGCTGCGGTGCACATGGGTGTCCCTAACCCGACTCGTCTGGATGTTCACCCACAAGTGGAATTGCTGGATCATAGGGCAACTCTATTTTGGGGGGAAACTTCATACTGTCTTTCCACAGCAGCTCTACCACTTCACATTCTCCCCAGGAGTGCACAGGGGTCCAGTTTCCCCACATCCTCACTGGGGTCCCTTTTCAAAGGCCCTGGGTGTCTTTCTCTGTCAGCCCTAGAGCCAGGTGGCAGCTGCTGGCTTTCCAAGTGTGGCCACCAGGGGGCTGCTGCAGCCAACACGGGGCGGTGTCTGCACCCTCTCAGGGCATGGCAACTAAGGCTGGGTGGGGCAGAGACCTCACCTCTGAGCAGTCTCCTGATGGCTCATTCCCCAGGGCCTACAGCCCTCCCTTGCCTCCCCCAGGCCTGAACCCTCACCAGCTGGTGCTTGGCAGCCTCCCGGATCCAGCGGATGTTGTCCATATACTGCTGCTTCACAGACACCTTCACTGCAGGAGAGATGGGAGGGGTGTCCCGGCCACAGACACCAGCTCTGCACCCACCCCTGGAGCCAAGATGCAGGGTTGGGGGCCCAGCTCCACCCCACAGGCCTTTCTGATTTTGAGAGCCTCCAGGGCTGATGACAGAGTGAGTTAATCCATAGACTTGTGCAGTCTGCTACCTGACATAGCAGCAAACAGCTACTCAGCAAACAGCTACTCAGTGCCTACTGTCTACCAGACGCTTTGCTGAGCACCAGGGACAAACTCTGCTGGGCCATGAAGGCAAGAAGAGTGTGTGATGAGGTGGCTACTAGGGCGAGCCCGGGCTCTCCACGGAGCTCACAATCAAGCTGAGTCCTAAATGCTAAGAAGGAACCAGTGACACGCAGCTCTGAGGGTACAGAGCTCTAGGCAGAGGAAGCACCCAGAGCAAGGCCCTGAGGTGGGAATCAGCTTGGCGTCTTGGGATCAGGCCAGTTGGGCTCACACAGAAGGTGTGGGGTACACGGGGAGCCAGCTTGGACTAACTTGCGAAAGCAGGTTGGTAATTTTTCCAGCATTGTGGGAGCCAGTGGTTAATACAGATATCATTACAACTTTAATTAAATAGACTTAACATCAAAACAATTATATGAAAAATGAAGGTAACACTCAAGTCTCCTCACTGCCTGGACTTTACTGTCCTTTGACAGGATCTATGCTCTCAATGCATCTGCTCCTGTTATGCTGGCGGAAACGCCATGGGACCACATGCTGCTGTCCATGTTGAGCCAGGTCACAGCCAAGGCTGAAATCACTCCAGCTGGGCGTATTTATACCACAGTCATCAGCAGATGCAACAGTTCAGGGCTGCCTTCTGGAGGGCTGTTGCCAAACACCTCCTAGCTGCCTTCTGAGGGCTGTACAGCTGTCCTCACCACCAGAGCAGCAACATTGCACCAGATTCCTAAGAGAAGACCCATGCTCCCCTTTCCTTCCCCACTCCACTCAGGTCCTGGCCAGTTTCCTCCCACATAGGTGGATCACATAGGTGGATCCATGGAACCTGGACCCCTTGACCAGCCCACCAAACCTAGAAACTGGTAGCAGGGTTAGTAAAGGCTGACCACCTGTGCAGAGAAGCCCACCTGAGCCTGCAGGAATGCTGCAGAGAAACAGGGGTGAGACTCCAACAACTGAGGAAGTTTCATAAAATAACTGCCTTCCCATCTCCACATGAACAAGGACGTCAAATGCACTCAACAAGAACAGACTATGGTTTACGGGGGGGGGGGGGCATGCCGAGATGGAAAGAGCACAGTCACCCAAGTCAAAGAGGCAGAACAGAGAGTTCACATCAGCAGAACCCAAGGCAGATGTGGGGTCCCTGACACAATGGAAGCCCAGGTGGACCTGGCAGATGTGAGCCAACAGAGCCTCGCATGGGGGTGGCATCCTCACCAAAGCCACCTTTGACAGGCCCGGACCTGAGCCACATCCAGGGGAGAAGCAGGGCCAGAGTGGGGCTGTGGTATGGTGGAGCCTGCCCTGTGGGCCCTACCATCACTGCCCAGCTGCCTGCCCTGAAGCCCTTTCTACTTCAGCCACTTTGAGTGGCTTTCTGTCATTCAACTAGAGGGTCCTAACTGGCAGCGCCCCGAGCAGCTCTGGAGGGCAGAGGCTCAGCACAGCAGGGGCCATACTTCCAACACTCAGAATGGTGCACCTACCCTGGCTCACAAAAGCCAACAAGGCCTGGGGTGCCACACAGAATCTGCCACCAGCTGTCAGTCGGACAAGCTCTGGGAGGCAGGAGCTTTGGGGGACCCCTACCCACAAGCAACCCCCACCCAGCAGTGTTACCTCCATCAGCAATGGCCTGCTCCAGCACAGACATGGCCAGCTGGTCTGTGACAGTCAGGTCCTTGGGGTCTCCTGATGTACATACCCAGCGGAAAGGCCCAAATCCCTGGGAGAATATATCCCTGCAAAGACAAAAATGCCTCCTCACATGGGGCTTCCCAGGCCAACCACCCACTGGCTCAGGACAGGGGTACAGTAGGGGGGGTGTGCCCAGTGAGGCAGGTGTCAGTGTCCAGAACTGAACTTGGATAAGGAGCTTCAGAAGCCCTGACCTCTATCCTCCCCACAGCACCCCAGGTCTCTGTCCGGCCACTTTCTACCACACCATCACCAGCTTCAGGTGCAGAGATCTCCAACTACTGTTACAAAGGCCACATGAAAATTAAGTCATCTAAGTAGCTGTGAGAAGAGAATGAATGTGGGGACCTGGCCTTTGTGAATTCACCTTGGATAAACTCATCCCCAGAAGACGAGGCTCCTGTGGCTGGTGGAGATCTCATGGGGAACCTCATGAGATCTCCTGGGGTTCCCTGCCCAGGCTCCTGCATGTGCCAGGCTGGCTGGGTGCATCCCTTGTGGGCTCCCCTCACACCCCTCCTAGAGGGAGACAATGGCCCCTGTATCGGGGCAGTGCCAGCACTCTCCCGGCTCTGCCTGTGCACCCCAGGGGACCTGACAGGGTAAAGTGCCATCTGCCTTCCTCACCTCCAGCCCTCTCAGGTCCCACCTTTGTCCAGTGAGGACCGGCAAGTCTTCCACGGGCAGCATGATGTGCTCTCCCAGTCCTCAGCAGAAAGGCCAGACTTCTCATCTCAGCCCACTCACCTCTAGGGTTCCCGTCTAGCTCCCCAACTTGCCCTGGGCTGCAGGCCGTCCCCCTACCTGTCCCTCACGGCCAGATAAGCCCATGGATTTCAGGGTCAGAGCAGGCCTTGGTCTTCATGAAGAAGCTGTCAGCCACTCGCTTGACACACTATTTAGGGTTGTGGTGTGACCAGAAAGTAATGCACCTCGGCCTCTACACATGCCCAGCTTGCCCTCTCCTGAGGCCTTGCAGTCCCCTCAGCTGCATGTTTATAGGAGAGATGCCCAAGGCCATATGCTGGTCTCAGTGCATGACCTCAGGGGTGGTCAGAGGCTGAAGCTTTTCCAGCCTGAGTGCCCAGAACCCAGGCTCTGAGAAGAGTCGGGGTACTAGGTGCACTGGATCCAGGGGCCACCATCACTCACCCCATGATGTGCTGGACATACGAGGGGTAGCGGAACTCCGTCTTACTGGCACCTTTCTTCCCCACATCTGCTCCTGTGGGCACACCCCTAGACAGTCAGCACCCCCAGGCGGGATATCTATGGTCACCCCAGTGGTGATTTAAATGCAGTGTCTGGGAAGGGTCTGAAAGGGCTTAAAGTAAATCAAGAAAAAAAGCAGGGGCAGCACATGACTGGCCTTTTATGTGGCTGGGGTGCAGGATGAACATGCTTGCCCGAGTGTACCACTGCCAGAGTGGGCCCTCTTTAGGGAGAGGGCAGGCGGCGGGGGGAGCCTTCCACCAGGGGGACACTGTTGGCCTTTTGAACTTCATACTCCATGAAGGAAACACCCATTTTACAGGAAGAAGTTTCGACCCCAGAAACGGAAAGCTGAAGTTTTTGGCACGGGACTCCCACCCCCCAACCCCAGCACTGTGCCTGCTCTTTTTATGGCACTTTATGTTCTTAAAGAACATAGGAAACTGAGGCCCAGATGGGCCAATCCGAGAGGCCTGAGCAGAGGCACAGGAAGCCTCCTGGGATCACCTACTGGGGGACCTGTGGCCGAGCCTCTGAGTGAGGTGGGAAGGGGAGCTTGCCCAGTGCCTGGGGCCCAGGACAGGGGCAGCCCAGGGCCCCTTGCCCAGCCCCTCCTCCTCATACCTACCTGCTCTCTGGGCCTCCAAGAGGAAGGCATTGCCATAATCCCAAAAGAAGAATTTCTCTTTGGCCAGCCTGTTGATGGCTGAGACATGCCTCCTTAGGCTGCAACAAGCAGATGGGTCAGCCCTCCACTGTAAGGTTCTCAGAGCTTCCCTCCTCCCCACCCCCGCCGGCTGCAGCCCACCCCTAAGCTGGCTGCTGACTTCCAGTGCTGAGGCCTGGAGAGCCCCCAGCTCCTGGGGTCTGGCCATACTTCTTTACCACCCCCACCAAGCTACCTGCCTGGGAATGTTCTCTATTCTCTGTCATCTGTTTAAGCTCTCCACACCCCTCAAGGCCCAGCTGGCAGCTAAACAAGCATTGTTGGTCCCCAAGCCTGCCAGGCCCCGGGGAGACAGGCCCAGAGAGGGCAACACACGTTCCCTGGCATTGATTTGGTGTCAATGCAGTGAGTGTCAGAAGTGGCACCAGGCATTTGGCATGTGTCATTCCATTTTACCTCTGGCATTCCCATGAGCTATGTGTGTCATGACCCTCTGGCAGGAGGAGGCAGAGGCTCAGAAAGGTGAAGGTCCTGTCCCAGGCCACACTGCTTCACAGGTGGACTGCCCAGGCCAAACGCTCCTGCTGCCTTAGCCGGGCCTGCATTACCTTTCCTGGACCAGGCCCTTGAACGCAGCGGGGTCCGAGGCCATAAGGCTCTGGGCGTCGGTGAAGCTGAGCTGCACGGGGTAGTAGCCACCATTGAACGGGTTGTGGCAGGATGTCTGGTCAGACCCCAGGTCCACCAAGAGCTCCCCTGTTGTGTCCAATACATGGACCAGGCGCTCCCTGGGGAAGACATGGGGCAGTCAGTGCCGGGCAGCATGGCCTGGGGCTGAGTCTAGGGCAGCCTGGAGGGATTGCAACCCATTTCCCACCCTCACGTCCAGCAGCAAGGGCCTGAGTGGGATCTGCTTCCCATGGAGAGGACACTGGCAGGAAGGCTGCAGACCAGGCAGAGCTTGGGGGAGGATGTGAGCTGCCAAGGTGGGGTCTGTGCTGGGGTAGGGGGCTCACCTGGGGACCCCAAGGCTGTTAACTCCCACCCTACTCACCAAAGCTCCACCACATTGCCGTGATAACCAAGGCTGAGCACCTCCTTCTTTTTCCTTGCTTCCCTAGAGGAATACGAGAACAAAACAGATGGCCCCTCCACATGTGCCCACAGCTGACCCCCTGACTCCCCCCCACAGGGACACAGCGCTAACAACACACAGAAGACCCTGGGGGCACCGGAGCATCTGTGTGAGGGAGGGGCCTGTGAGGTCTGGGTCATGAGGGTATCCCCTTGGGGCCTTTTTTTCTGTTCAAGGCACAAAATAGTAAAGGGAAATCCCAGGCTCGAATGTCCCAGAGGAGGAAACTGAGGCAGCAGCTATGACGACTCTCGGGCCCTGGCTGCCAGAACTCTAACAGGCACCTGTAGAGAACCCACTCAAACTGGCCCTAAAGTTACAGGATTCACTAAAGACGACTCCCAAAATTACTTGGAAAATAGAAGGACGAGAAAAATTAAAGCATATTTGGGGGAATAAAAGATCCGAGTAGGCCTTGCTGAGGGCAGAGGCACCAAAACACAGCAGTGAGTGGACGTGTGGTGCAGGCCTGGGGGAGGCAGAACCCGCAGACATGCTGGGCTGCTTGGTGCCTCCTCTCTTGTAGGTGTGCAAGGGAGGGATGCAGGGAAGGACAAACAGGCCTATGCAGCTGAGGGGCCCACAGCATGACTTATTGAGGAAACAGGAGGGAATCCCAGCACAAAGCCCATCGGGGAACGTGTGCCCTGCAAGGATCACCCCATGCCCCCTGTGTCTGTCTCGCCTAGGCTGTGGGAGTGCTGCAGACATTCTGCACCAGGACCTTGTTCAACAGACTTGAGGGCGTGTGTGCATGGGGGGAGTATATGTGCCTGTGTGTGTCACGTGTGCGTTGTGTGTGCTCATGCTTAGCATGTATGCGTGTGTGTACGTGGGTGAGTGTGGGTGGGCATATGCTCAGAAGCCCAAGCGGCCTGAACGGGAGCAGGGTTTATATAGGCACAGCCCTTCAGAACCACACCATAATCTCTTTTATAGTTGCTGGGCAGCTATCTGAGAGTTTTCTATGGGATTCAATGTGGTCAAATTGGTATCTTAGATCTATGAAATGTATCCATTCTGGATAACAGGGATAGTTGGAAGTTCACCATATCATTTCTGAGGTTTTGTTTACATTCTCAGCCCTTGTGATCATAGCCAGGGTGGGCGCCACTGGGCTGATGTGTCTTCCCAAATTGAACTCTGTTCTTCACAGTAAATTGAGAGGATACTTCAAAAATGGCATCCACGCAGTGGCCCCTAGGAACCATGGAAATACCAAGAGAATGTCCAAAACTCATTAGAGCCAGGTGTCTGAGCAGCGAGGACGCAAGCTTGGGGCTGTCTACACAGTAACAGGCAGCAAGAGACAGGATGTTAAGACCAGCCAGGATGAGGGCCCTGGAAGTGGCGCCCACCTGCAGCCAGATGTCAGCCACACACTTCTAGGGCTCAGGGCTCAGGGCTCAGGGCTCAGGGCTCAGGCGTCTGAGCTGAGTGTGCAGCTGTACCTGAGTCTCTGGATGCAGTGGTCCAAACTGTCAGTCACTTCCATCAGCCAGCCTTGCTTGTGGCGCTTCTCAAGGGCAGCTTTATCCACCTGGGACCATGAGACTGGGGGTCACCCAGCTGCCAACAGGCACTGAGCATAGAGGTGACAGGCACTTTGGAGGAAGGAAGTGTACACTGCCCTAGGCACCCACAGTGAGATGGAGGAAGACTCTGTGGAGGTGAGGGTGGGCTGGAGGAGACAGGAAGAGGGATGCTCCAGGCCTGAACAGCCCTACAGGGAGGAAAGAAGGGAGGGAGGCGGCAAGGACCGAGACCAGGGGTGTAGACAGCTCACCTCTGCTATCACACCGATGCACCCCGTGATGACTGCGGCCTTAGCCTGAGCCCCACTCATTCCACCAAGTCCAGAGGTGACAAAGACCTTCCCAGCCAAGTCCTCGACGCCCAGGTACCGGCGAGCAGCATTCAACACGGTGAGCTGCAGAGAGGCGGCAGGGCCCTTGCTTCCCACGCCCCTCCTGCACCATTCCACACATCCCCACACCCCTGTGCCAGGCCTACCCACAGCCTGGCCTGGCCCCATTTCTCACCACAGTGCCATGGACGATTCCTTGCGGACCGATGTAGCAGTAGCTGCCTGCTGTCATCTGGCCGTACCTGACCATGGAGAGGAAAGCCAAGCCTGGATTAAGCCAGTGCCAGGCCCAGCTCCTCCCAGCCACCCCCATTAGGAGGTTTAAAATTCATTTTTAAGGGTGGCACCTGTGGCTCAAAGGAGTAGGGCGCCGGCCCCATATGCCCGAGGTGGAGGGTCAAACCCAGCCCCAGCCAAAAACTGGAAAAAAAATTAATTTTTAACTACCACCAAAAGCATTCATATGTTTTCCTTTCTAAAAAAAGAACATAATAAGGCTACAGTCCCCCTTTTCTGGTCTTCTCCGACCTCCCAGACATTTAACAGATTTTATTTTCTTAAAAACTGGTATAATTGGTAAAAATCACTTAGGAGACTCTTTGGCCACATGGACAACTAAACACAACCCAGCCTGTCATCCATGTTCCCAGGCCAGGCCCAGGCAACGGCACAGACAAGAATGTTCCAGCTACTGTATTTCCAGTGGCTGAAACCTGAAGCCTCAGATGAAGGTTGGTGGTCATCTCAGGTTGGTGGTCATCTCAACCTGAAACCTGAGATGACCACCAACAGGAGAAGAGGAGAATGATGGAGCCCCCCAAGGACAGATGCCAGCCGTGGGGCTGAGGAAGGAGCAGGGCACAAAGGACCCAAGACAATGGGCTTCATTTTGAGGAGCTGTCCCCCTGGAGGAAGGCTTGGGAACTGCAGGGAGGCAGGGGTGGGGCTGAGTGAGACCTGGTAGTGGCAGCATTAGGGTACTTGCTTGTTAGGGCCCATTGAGACAGATATTTCCGAGCTGTGCACTTTGCTGTAGTTAGTGAGACCTCGCTGAATGACACTCCAGGGTGTGGTTCTGCCCGGGGGTTACTGTTATTACTATTTACATAAATGCCCTCATTCTATAGGTATTATTTCTACAAATTGTTTTTCTCCCCACATGACACCTGTGAGGTCCTTTCTACATCAGCACACACAGACCCTGCTTGCTCCTTCTCAGGGCTTTACAGTATAGACATTCAAAGTATGGACTTCACAGGGCTTTACAGTATGGACTCATGGCTTCAAAGCCATGGACATTCTCTGCCCTCCTATGGGAAAGGGGGCTGGCTCTGATTGTGTCACGTGAACAGTGCTGTAGTGAGCGGCCTCCTGCTACCTCCTGCTACCTCCCACCGCCCGCAGGCCTCATCCTCCAGGGTAGAAACCAGGGAGGGTAACTACTAGGTCCTAGGAGAGCATGCTTGCTCTCATCACTTGGTATCTATCAGCCACTTTATGATGTGGTGATGTGCTAGGGAAGCGGGGCCATTTTGCTCTGCCTTCTGTGAGGACTAGGATACTCTCCAGGGCTTTCTGCCACTTATTTTTCTTCTTTGTAAATTTCAAATTCATCTGTCTTTTCCTCTGGGCTCCTGCCTTGTAGAGACTTTCCCTAACCCCTCCCCTCTTTTCTCCACTCTGGATTCTCACAGACGTGTGCCTAAATACCAAGCTTATCCTATAACACAAGCTAGGCCTTGACCACTCAGAACCTCTGTTTCTTCTTCTTAAAGATGGGGGTACATCCTCTCACCTTGAAAGATTGTGTGACTATTACACAGCATAAGACAGTAATACTAATATAATAAATCTCTACCCAGGAAGCCTGGTGAAACCTCCAGAACCTCCTACCCCCACCCACATACCCCCCCCCC